GCATTTATAGTGGCTTTATTCATAATCACCTAAAACTGGAAATAACATGATATCCCTCTAGTGGTTAATGGATAGACAAACTGTGGTAGGCCCACACGATACAACTTTACTCAACAATACTAAAAGCCCAGAGTGTAAAAAGTTCACACCTTGTGGGTTTTCCAATGGCTATATAAATCTCTAGACTCTGTACCATCACACTCTACACGTGGAACCTACAGAATGGTGTCTATTTTATGACTCAGATATTGAGTGGAAACATAATAACCGAAGACCCAGAGTGTGACAGAAACGACACGATGTCCCCTAATACCCGTTCTCTCATTTTTCCTTGATAATAAAGGAACCCCCAAGTTAGCTAGACACATAGACTATAGTATTTTCTCATTATGATGAGGTGTAGCCATGTGACTAAACTGTAGCTAATGGAAAGTAAGCAGAAGCACGGTGCAGAATTTCTCAAGAAGGATCCATAAAGAATCGGGTGTGTGCTTCTATACGTCGACTCCTGGCTGGAACATGGACGGGACAGACAGGGCCTCAGCGAACTTTAAGTAACAAAACCATTTTGCACTTGTTTTGCAAAACCGTTTCTTCACTCTGAAGAATGTGAAGAATGTGAATGGGTTTGGGTTGAGTGTCCATTACGTGAATGAACGGCAAAAAAATTGCCTAGGCTACAACTCCAGACGCAAATCACCGCAAGCCATCCTATTTCTCATATCATGCTGCTTGTTTATCATGCCCAGTACCTGTGGCCCAGTAGTAAATATCCCAGTCGTTACTGGGCTCATTAATCAGACGATCATACAGGTTCAGCTGTTTCTCTGTCATGTGGTGCAGGTATTCTTTAGCAAAGAGGCTAAAAACGAGAAAGAGAGAAGGAAGCTGAAAAGGCGGTCTCCAGTATGAGACAAGCGATGCCGAGACTCGTATTTCCCTACCTAAGCAGAATACAGTTTTCCAACATTCCCCTCTTTCTGCTCTCATAGAGCAGCCGGGCTCTTTTGGTTTCTATGGATTCATCAGTTCGCTCCTGCCACGGAGGTAAAGGGATTTCAATCATGTCTTTTTGGGAATCTGTCGGGCTGTCACCTCTGTAGAAACGGCTGAATGATGTCGTGCTGAGCGAGGGTGACACTAGGTGGCGCCTTGGCAGAGCAAGCATCTGAAATAAATAAAGCACAAACATTTTTATAATAACTACCGTCATTGTCATTCCCTCAACACTTCCTAAGTACTAAGCTCATTCAATCTCCTTTAGTCCTTAAGAAGTTATGTTGATACTGTTCCCACTTTATAGCTTAGGAAGCTGAGGCTAGAAGAGGTTAAATAATTACCAAGGTCACCCACATAGTGACTGCAGTTAGGACTAGAACACGGCCCTAACTGCACATGTGTTCTTAACTGGTACCTTTCCAGAAATTCTCCAGCAGAAGTATCTTCTCCTTCCTTTGCATTCCCTTAAAGTTCTTATGGTGTTGTATATATTTTAGTTACTTGCCTGTGTTAGAGTCTGAGTATACAGTGACGGCATGGTTCCTAATCCCCAGAAGACTCCCAATCTAGAGAAGGGTAAAACCTATCAAGATGCAACGAGAAGGCAGTGATGCCAGCAAGATGGTGGAACAGGAAGCTCCCACTCCCCTCCTCCCATGGAGACAGCAACTCTACAACAATACATGGACCGATTCCCTTTATGAGAAATCCAGAAACCAGGTAAGAAGCTCCTGAAATAAGAAGTCAGCAAATCCTTCCAATAGAGAACTTCTATGCACCAGCCTAGAGAAGATATATCCACACAAAAATGTTTGAGAGGCTCCCAGAATCTTTAGCCAGGCTGACCGCTGAAGGTCTTTCCTTGCACAAAGCCAATCTAAAAAGACTGGGAGAGCAGACTGTTTTTTTTGAAAGCCTGGATTCAACATAAATTTGCAAGGGACACGAAGAAACAGGAAAAAACATGGCCCAATCAAAGAAACAAAATAAATCTCTAGAAGCCAACCCTTAAGAAACAGAGGCGCATGAATTACCTGACAAAGAATTCAAAACAACTGTCATCAAGATGTTCAGTTTGCTCTGCAAGACAGTGAATGAATGGAATGACAATATAAACAGAGACAAATATTAAAAAGAACCAAACAGAAATTTTGGAGCTAAAGAATACAATAACCAAATGAAAACAAATTCGCTATGGGGGTTAACTAGCAGACTTGATCAAGCAGAAGAAAGAATCAGTAAACTTAAAGGCAGGTGATTTGAAATTTCCCAATCAGAGAAAGAAAAAAAAAAAAAAAGAATGAAAAAGAGTGAAATATGCCTAAGGGACTTATGGGACATCATCAAGCAAGCCAACACAAATATTATGGAGGTCCCAGAAGGAGAAAAGAGACAGAAAGCTTATTTAAAGAAATGGCCAGGGGTGGCTGGCTGGCTTGGTCGGTGGGAGCATGTGACTATTGATCTTGGGATTGTGAGTTTGAGCCCCACATCGGGTGTACAGTTTACCAAAAAAAAGAAATTAATACAAAGAGATGACCAGAGGGGCGCCTGGGTGGCTCAGTCGGTTGAGCGTCCGACTTCAGTTCAGGTCACGATCTCACGGTTCGTGAGTTCGAGCCCCACGTCAGGTTCTGTGCCAACAGCTCAGAGCCTGGAGCCTGCTTCAGATTCTGTGTCTCCCTCTCTCTCTGCCCCATCCACACTCATGCTCTGTCTCTCTCTGTCTTAAAAATAAATAAAACATTAAAAAAAAAATAAATTAAAAAAAAAAAAGAAATGGCCAGAAACTTGCCAAATTTGGGGAAGTTTGGACATCCAAATTCAAGAAGCCCAAAGGACCCAAAGGACAATAGAAAACAATACAAAAGCATATGAAAGCATAAAGATCACTGGTAAAGATAAATAGATGACAAATACAGAATACTGTAATATTGTAAGTGATAGGTAAATCACTTTTAATGCTAGTACAGAAGTTAAAAGAGAAAAACATCAAAAAATAACAAAATATACTAATAGGTACGCAATATAAAAATATGCAGTCGCGACATCAAAAACATAAAGCGGGAGGAGTAAAAGAGTAGTTTTTTTGCAATGACAGTAGAGTTAAATTGCTATCATCTTAAAATAGATTATGCTTTATGTAAGCCCAATGGTAACCAAAAAGAAAATACCCATAGAAGATACATACAGAAAATGAGAAAAGGATTAAAGCCGGTCTCTACAAACGAAACAAAACAATGAAACACAAAGGATAATAACAAGAGAGGAAAAAAGGGACACAAAAGCTACAAGATGGATAGAAAACAAAATGGCAATAGTAAGTTCTTCTCGATCAGTAATTACACATAAATGAACTAAACTCTCCAAACAAAACACTAGAGTGGCTAGATGGATTAAAAAACAGGATCCAGGGGCGCCTGGGTGGCTCAGTCGGTCAAGTGTCTGACTTTGGCTCAGGTCATGATCTCCCGGCTCATCTGAGCCCCTCGTTGGGCTCTGTGCTGACAGCTCGGGGCCTGGAGCCTGCTTTGGATTCTATGTCTCCCTCGCTCTCTGCCCCTCCCCCACTCATGCTCGGTCTCTGTCAAAAATAAATAAACATTAAAAAAAATTAAAAACACAAAACAAAACAGGATCCAACTATAAGCTGCTACAAAAGACTCCTTTTAGATGTAAGACTACACAGGCTGAAAAGCGAAAGGATGAAAAAAAAGATAACCCGTGCAAATGGTAACCAAAGAGCAAAGATGGCACTACTTATGTCAGCCAAAATAGGCTTTGGGTCAAAAACTGTCACAAGAGATAAGGAACATTATTATAGAATGATAAAAGGATCAATGCACCAGGAATATGTAACAATCATAAACATACATGCAGCCAACATCAGAGCACCCAAACACGCGAAGCAAACATTGACAGAACTGAAGAAAGAAAGAAACAGCAAAACAATAAAAATAGATTTCAGTACTCCACATTCAATGGATATCTATCATTGGATAGATATCAATGGATATCTATCAATGGATAGAACATCTGGACAGAAGATCAATAAGTAAACAGAAGACCTTAACAACACTATAGATCAAGTGGACCAAAACGGACACATCCAGAACATTCCAGCAGAGCACATTCTTTGCAAGCACCCTGGGAATATTCTCCAAGACAGATCACCTTAGGTTGCAAAACAAGTCTTACCAAATTAAAAAAGGTTAACATCACACAAAGTATCTTTTCTGACCACAATGAACTAAAACTAGAGATCCACAGCAGAAGGAAAACTGGAAAATTCACAAATATGTGAAAATGAACACACTCTAGGTGATGAATAAACCAATAGTTCTAACGGGTCAAAGAAGGAATCAAAAGGGGAATTCCAAAACATCCTGAGACAAGCGAAAACACAACATACAAAAACTTATGAGGTGCAATAAAAAAGTAGAGAGAGGTTTACAGTCTGAAATGCCTACGTTAAAAAAAAAAAATCTACGATGTGAAATCCTAACATGTATTAGACACATAAGAACAGAGACTCAAGAACAGAGAGAAGCGGCGCACAGAGGCGGTGCAGCCAGCTCCACCTGGGGAACAGGTGAAATCTGAATTGGGTCTCGCACGAGTCAGGCACACAGTGGGCTCAGAAGAGTGGATGTGACCTGAATCTCCTATGTTTCAAGACGGATCTCTCTCCTTGGGTCTGCCCTTGCCCTGGGCTATCAAGCAGCTGGACGCTCCTCGCAGTCTCCATGACTGCGTTGGAAGACGAGACTCAGTCCCCACTACGGCCTGCCCAGGACCCTAAAACCTCCACTCTCCTCACCCGTGCCAGACCCGGGAACATGGTGGCCACCGCCATCCTTCCCGACCTTCACCGGAAGCCTGTGGCCCAGGCACTTCCGGACGCCTGAACTGTGGACTTCTGCTCTGAGGCCCTGAGCCGGAAGATGAGTCCCTGCGTATGGCGGAAGTGGCTGTGCGTGTGACGCCAGCGGCGGGGGGGGGCGGGACCTGGGACCGAGAGCGGTTCGCGCGCTTCGGGCCTAGTCCGGACTCGCCGCCGCCGCCGCCATATTCCCGGTAACGGGGGCGCGCGGCCGGGGGCCGGCTGGGCCGGAAGAGGGCTCGGGGCCAGCGCTGAAACTGGGAGGGGGTCGGTTGAGTTTGGGGCAGCCGGAGTCGGCGGGCGGAGGGAGGCGCGGGCCTTTGAGGGAGGAGGCCGAGGGCGCCGGGCCGAGTCTGTGGGGAGGGAGCGGGGCGGGCCTAGCCGGGGGCGAGGACTGGGCCTGGGTGGGGAGCGAAGGCGGCTGGAGCTCCGCGACCCGCAGGGACGCAAGCCGGGGCCGCTCTGGGGCCTAGGCAGGTGCGGCGGGCTGGGGCAGCGGGCTTCGCCGCGGTCGTTCTTCGCAGCGCCGTCCCAGGGCCCCTAGGAGCAGAGGCCTGGACTTTCCCGTCGCGCCGCGGGCAGCTGCGGCGCAACTCGGGTCGGGCCCGAGGGTGATGGGCAGCGAGCCCCGCGAGCCCCGGCGGCCTGGGAGAGCGAGGGGCGGCGCGAGGCCGGGGGCGGGGCGGAGCGGGTGGGACCGAGCTTGGGCTGCCGGGATGCTGCGTCTCTGGAGACTGGAGGTTGGCAACCATTGCTCTCCTCCCAGCCCGGGACCCTCACGCCTTCTCACTCTTGCCTCTTCCAGGGTACCGCAGTGGCATCTTTCTTACTTGGTCGGTTCTCCGGGCTCGCGATCTTCCTTCCGGAGCCATGTCAGAAGGAGTGGACTTGATTGATATATATGCTGACGAGGAGTTCAATCAGGTGAGGGGTCATCGGGAGCATTGGATTTTCCTGGATCAGCTGAGGAATCACTTTCCCCAAACTTGCGGTGGTTCCAGGCTATGGCAGTCTTTGCTAGGCCTGAACATCCCTCTGTAGGGTCTAAAATGTTTCCTCTATCAGAGACTTTCGAGACTTCTGATCGTTCCGCTTTATGTTAATTTTAAGCCTCCAGGCTTAATTTTACAAGCTTTGGTTTAAGAGCAAATAAAAATCAGGTTTAATAGAATGGGGATCAACCTGTGGAACTTGCTCCCCCAGGAGGCCAGAGTTGGGTGCCAGTCTGCTCAGAGACTGAGCACACTTAAAAACCAGAATTATGTTTGCTGTAGTATTCGTGAAGACAGTGTTCATACCCGTTCCTTTGTGACTCTTTCAAACGGCAGCTGGAGAAACGTAGTCTCCTCCTCCATGAGGCAGTGCAAAAGCACACTATAAAAGATACTTGAACAATTAGTTGAAGCTCCATTCTGACTGTTCTGGGCTTTACTTCTTCCTGTAAGTAGTTTGACTCCAGTCTTCAGCGGTGCGTAGGCATTTTGGTGTAATAAATTTTATTTTATTGTTGAATCTCATTGTTTTGAGGGAAAACCAGTTAAAAAGCAGGTATAGACCTGTGGATTTGTTGATCTCTTTATGTTACGTCAAGGAACATTACATGGTGATTTCCCTTGAAACAGTAATATATTGAGGTCAAGCTCAAGAATGTTCTGAAGTCTCTTTTTATTCTACTTTTTTGATAAATTCTACCAAACATTCATTCATTTATTTATTTAGAGGGCGTGCTAGTGGGGGAGAGGGGCAGAGGGAGGGAGAGAGTGAGAGTGAGAGAGAGAGAGAGAGAGAGAGAGAGAGAATCTTAAGCAGGCTCCACATTCAGCGCAGAGCCTGAAGTGGGGCTTGATCCCATGACCGTGGGATCATGACCTGAGCCAAAATCAGGAGTCAGTCACTCAACCAACTGAGCCACCCAGGCACCTCTCAAAGTCTCTTTTTAAAACTTAGTAGTATCTTGCCTGGATTGTTTTCAGCACCATTTTACTTGAGTAAACTTGTTCTTTCATTGGTGTCTTTCAATGCATACACACAAGAACCTGGAAAGAGGGTAAAAAGAAGAGACTAGGGAAGGAGAGTGCCCTGGTTGGACCCTGACTTTTATACAAGGCAACAGAAGAGGTTCTGTACACTTGGCAAAAGTTTGCGTTAAAAAAAAAAAAAAAATAACACATTATGCCATTTTAACATGGAGACGTTAAAATACAAAAGTAGAGAGATTAGTATAGTGATCTTGTACCCATCATACAGCTTCATCAGTTATACTTTTTAATAGTCATTTTCCCACGTCTCCTCAGGTATATTGGAGTCATCTACATGTTGACCTAAATACATGAAAAAAATTTTTAAGCTCAAACAAGTCAAATAATTATGGCTGAATAGAAAGGTTCAGTATATCAGTTTAGTTACAACCATTGTTTTCCTGAGTTTTCCATATTACTTTGAATCAGACCTTTACTATTCTTTACAAGCTATGGGTGGTTTTCATTTTTTTGTTTTGTTTTTAGTACATGATAGGAAGGATAGTTATTAATAAAAACCCTTTTTCCCCCCTTAATTTTCTTCTCTATAGGTAGATAACCATGCTGCTGAATCAGTTTGAGAAATGAGCAGAACAGGATAGGTCTAGTCACATTTGGTCTTAGAAAATGGAATTTCAGAATTTGTTAAGCAGTATAACTTATAGGGTATAGTCAAGGCACAGACCTTATCCAGTGGTCGCTGCCGTGTCTTTGGCCTCAACAATTTGTTCTCCTGTGTCTTTAGTTAAAAAAGACCTGGGGTGCCTGGGTGGCTTGGTCGGTTGAGCGTCCGACTTCAGCTCAGGTCATGATCTCGCGGTTCGTGAGTTCGAGCCCCGCGTCAGGCTTTGTGCTGACAGCTTGGAGCCTGGAGCCTATTTCCGATTCTGTGTCTCCCTCTCTCTCTCTGACCCTCCCCCGTTCATGCTCTGTCTCTCTCTGTCTCAAAAATAAATAAACGTTTAAAAAAAAAAAAAGGCTTGTTTATGGGTGTAAGGCCAAAGATGGTGTGTGGAATCTAGTAGACGTTTGTATCAAATAGACAATAATTAATGCTTGGCAAGTTGGAAGAAGTACAGATTTTGAATATCATGTCCATTTATGGAAGGTCCAGGGAGGAGTGCTCCTCTCATGAGTAAATTTTTGGTAAAGCCGGTTTTAGTGTAATTGGGAGGCTGCTAAAGAAATGATTAAGGTTTTGTTTGGCAAGCATTGTAAAAAGCAAGGTTAGACTGAAGGCAGCCAGTACAGATTGTGTTTTAGAATGTTTTAAGAATATTAAGGATTCATCCCAAGCTCAAGAACCCATGCTCAAGAACCTTGTCACATGGTACTCTGGTCCCCAGGCAAAATGAACAGTTTCTAGATGGAACCCTGTGGTGCTGACTCCCTGATCCCCTGTAACGTGCTATAAAAGCCTCTTTTTGCCGAACTGTTTTACTCCTGTCACATCGGGAGCCTTGAAATTCACAGCTGCTCTCTTGGGCTGGGAGGTACTCTGGAAAAGTGAGTGAGAGCTGCCGCTTTGCTGAGTGTTTCTCTCTGTACCTTGTGCTAAGCAAGGTGCTTTGCACACTACCCAGTTCTCTTTGCTATTTCCATCAAGTATTTATTGAGCAATTTCTGTTTGCTAGGCACTGTGTCAAGACCAGTGAGGGAATGGGGAACAAATGGATCCCTGTGTTCAAAAGACGTTCCATTCCTGGCGGTTGAGGGCAGTGGATAGTGGCAAGGAAGGCAGGCATGAGGTGAGGACTGGAGACAGTCGTCATAAAGCCAAAAACTTTGAGCTTTAGTTACAATTAAAAGGAACATTGAGTAGGTTGCTTTGAGAAAAATAAATGCTAACCTTTCTTCTCTCAGATATCAGGAAAAGGGGGTTGGAGGGTAGAAACATTGAACATACAGGTGGAGAGGTTCTTCCTTAAATTCAGAATCATGCAAGTTGTTTTTTATCTAAAGAGCTTCTTGAGACCATCACAGTTCTTCCTATACGATTAAACACAAAATTCTTCCTGATATAATCAGTTTTAAATATGAATACATACTTTTTAATCTCCCTGGAACTAAACCTTTGGCATCAGTGCACATAAAACATTGTATTTTTCCCTTAATTTGTAGAATTAGATTTTGCTTTAACCTAATTCAACACTGAGTAAATCGCCAGCTCATTTGGTAATCAGAAAAGCTTCAAGGCCTTATCTGTTTTTCTCTTACCAGCTCAAGAACTTAAAATGACTTGGTGTTGCCAGTAGACTTAAATTCAGACACAACTTGATACGTTGTTTCTTCAACAGACTCCTCCACAGGCCTGCTCTGTGCATCAGAACAGTTCCCAGGTTCTATGGCCCAGAGAAACCATTTGAATCTTGTGACAGTTTTGGATTCATTGAATCCTTTTGTGCTTCTTAAAGTGGTAAGGTAATCATGTACAAGGTTTTTCAGGATTTGAGTCTTACCGTGTTCTCTAAGGGTCCCTAAAAGAGTAGATTGTTTGCCTAGGCTTGCGGTATGGGAGGTTTCCTGGTCACGTATGTGATCTCTGAGCTGGCCCAAATCTGCACGCTAGTTCACTACCCAAGTATCAGTGGTGATTTTTGTATTATAACTTTTAGATTCGCATCTCTGAATCACAGATAGTGCCGGAAGGAATCCTAATTTGGTTCCACTGAGTATCCAAGATGGTGTGTTTCTTTATTCCCTTTAAGTTCCATTTCAAAATCCTCGATTTAAATTTAAGAAGTGGGGTGCTTGGGTGGCTCAGTCCGTTAAGCTCCCAACTTTGACTCAGGTCATGATCTCACGGTTCGTGAGTTGGGGTCCCACGTCAGGCTGTCTGCTGTGAGAGTGGAGCCCGCTTCGAATCCTCTGCCCCTCCCCTGCACACACTCTCTCTCTCCTTCTCAAAAATAAAGAAACACTCAGTAAATAAAGAAATGAATTTTTTTATTTCTGGTGTGGACTATTGCTCTCTAAGGATTAGAACGTTGAAGAGGCTCAAGCGGTTTCCATCTTCTTCCTTTGAACCACAAGGGTGTATCACCATACTTAGTACAGGAATAAGGAAATAAATGATTTTGTCTAGAGTTGCAATTCCTGAGACATAATAGCTGTGAAGTATTTTACGCACATTGTGTTTGTCAAGTTTTTAGCCCTTCGCTGTACTCCCCTTATTATCCCCCCTGTGCTCTCCAGTGTTAGCTTCTCTTCCTGTTCTTTACATACTCTTTATGGAAGATCCTTACTTATTTATAAATTGACTATCTAGAACAGTCTTTTTGTGCTTATTTATCTCATTAATTCCTTTTCTTACTTACAAGTCACCTCCAAAAAGGTCTGTCTTGGGGTGCCTCAGTTAAGCATCCAACTCTTGGTTTCAGCTCAGGTCATGATCTCACAGTTCATGAGATCGAGCCCAGAGCCCAGCTCTGTCAGCGCAGAGCCTGCTTAATTCTCTCTCTCTCTCTCTCTCTCTCTCTCTCTCTCTCTACCCCTCTCCCGCTCGCATGTGCTCTCTCTCTCTCAAAATGAATAAACTTTAATTTTTTTTTCAGTATTCTTTATTTTTGAGAGGCAGAGAGAGAGCGCATGTGGGGGAGGGGCAGAGAGAGAAGGAGAGACAGAATCGGAAGCAGGCTCCAGGCGCTGAGCTGTCAGCACAGAGCCCGATGCGGGCCCCGAACTCACGAACCGTGAGATCATGACCTGAGCCAAAGCCGGATGCTCAACCGACTGAGCCATCCAGGCGCCCCTGAATAAATAAACTTAAAAAAAAATAAAAAGGTTATTCTCTTTTGCCATCCTATTTCTGATGTTTTAGCAAGTGTATACGCTCCTCTTATAGGGGTTTTTAGGGTATTTGTAATATTTGGAATTATTTACATCCCTCAGGGAGTAGAACCCTTTCCCCCTTCACTACCAGAACAGTCCAGTAATGCTATTTTTGTGTGCACGTTCTTCCATTGTTCTTCAGATGAACTGAGGAACTAAAAAATTGTTTCCAGGGGCGCCTGGGTGGCGCAGTCGGTTAAGCGTCCGACTTCAGCCAGGTCACGATCTCGCGGTCCGGGAGTTCGAGCCCCACGTCAGGCTCTGGGCTGATGGCTCGGAGCCTGGAGCCTGTTTCCAACTCTGTGTCTCCCTCTCTCTCTGCCCCTCCCCCGTTCATGCTCTGTCTCTCTCTGTCCCAAAAATAAATAAATAAACGTTGAAAAAAAAAAATTAAAAAAAAAAAAAATTGTTTCCAGAACTTTGTGATGGTATATAGGTCTAGGAATGAATCTTGTAGTGAGTCTCCTCTCTAGTCTCATTTTAGAATCTGCAGTTGTTGTGATGGAATTGAACAGAGAAAGTTACTGGAACTTCCTATCGTGAGTTACATCATAGGAAGTGCTCTCCTTCAGAGAAGTAGACAAGTTACCTAACGTAGGTTCTTCTTTGTTTCCTTTTTAAAAACACAGCAATGACATGATGAGCTGTAGTTCCCCTAAAACACTTTGAACTTCTGTCTGTCACTTTGGCAGCAGCATCTTTAGCATGGTCGGGATGTTTTAGAACGTTATCTGAGAAAACACTGATCCTTAAAAAGAGCTCTCTGAGATAACATTGCAAAATCTGAAACGTTGAGGTCACTTGGCAGTAGTTCTTGTGGTTTTAGGATTGGGGGTATATAGTGCTAACTTAGGCTGCTGTAACAAAATACCAAACAGTGCTTATAAACAACAGAAATGTATCTCCCTGTTCTGGAAACTGGAAGACTAAAATCAGGTTTGGGTTCTGGTGAGGGCCCTCTTCTGGGTGCAGAATGCCAGCAGGCTGAGCAGAGATACAAAGCAGACATGCTTTCTCTTGGCTTTTGTATGGGTACTAATCCTTTTCATGAGGGTTCCCCCTCAAAACCTCATTTAATTTCGGTTATCTCCCAAAGGCCCCTCCTCCTAATACCATCACACCGGGGAAGAGGGTTTCAGCACATGCACTTTGGAGGGGCCACAGGCATTCAGTCCATAACAGCAATATATCACATACACACAAAGTATGTTTCACGTGTCTTTCAGAGTACGTGTCCACATTGTAAATGCTAACCGTGACACAGTTTGGGCCATGGGGGCTTGGCCTGTTTTCTGCCCTTCTATTTTATTTTATTCTATATTATTCTGCCCTTCTGCCTTTATTATTTTATTTTTGAGACAGAGACAGAGCATGAACAGGGGAGGGTCAGAGAGAGGGAGACACAGAATCTGAAACAGGCTCCAGGCTCTGAGCTGTCAGCACAGAGCCCGACGCGGGGCTCGAACTCACGGACTGCGAGATCATGACCTGAGCCGAAGTCGGCCGCTTAACCGACTGAGCCACCCAGGCGCCCCTCTGCCCTTCTATTTTAGAGAACTTCACTGTTTTTGTGTATCATTGAATGTCTTTGGTGTTCCTCCCAAAAGTCTCTCATATAAGTGTCATAGTAATGTATTGGACCTGCATTGTCATTTGAGAAATAGTAAGGGAAAATCTCCCAGAGTTATTCCTCCCCCCACCCCTTTTTTTTTTAAAGTTTCTTTGGTGGTTAGTAGAAAGACGGGATTGTGGACTGACTGAGTTTCAGAGCCTCTCTAAATCATTTGTGTAAATGTAAAAGTTTAAACCAGTAACTCCCAATTCTTTTTTGCATTCTAGTTTCCACTTTCATATGTTTTTTCCTTCTAAATGAATATACTGTCTTTCTGATTAAATAGAGTAGTAAGTTTTGTGTAACTCTTGATTGTGGAAGCAGCATGAGATGGTGAAAGCAAGTTTTCATTGCTGTGTCTTAGATGTGGCCTTTAGAAGCTGACCTCTTTGGTAGCGGTAGCAGGTGCATCTTTATGCATTCTCAGTTTGCTTGTTTAATCACCATGACTTTTTGATTCTCACAGCTGGCTGAAGCTGGAAACGTCGCAGACTACTAACAGGGTCTTAGAAGAAAAACCTACAGAAGCATAATTCAATGAAATGGTTTTAAGTGAAATATTATTCTTAAAAGAAAATTATTCTTACCTAGTTTCCTGGAGTAGGACAAAGAAGTTTTACACGTTGTTTTATGAAGTATTTGACCACGGATTCTAAGTGAACTAGAATGAAATAGAATGAACCCAGTGGAAGGTCTGCAAACCCACCTTTGTCAACCCCTCATCTCTTAGGACCCGGAGTTCAACAATACAGATCAGATTGACCTGTATGATGACGTGTTGACAGCCACCTCACAGCCCTCAGATGACAGAAGCAGCAGCACTGAGCCACCTCCCCCTGTTCGCCAGGAGCCGTCTCCCAAGCCCAATAACAAGAGCCCTGCAATCCTGTACACGTACAGTGGCCTGCGTAATAGGCGAGCTGCTGTCTATGTGGGCAGCTTCTCCTGGGTGAGCATGGGGAACCAAAAAGGCCCATGGGTAGGCTGGAGGGAGAGCACTGGGAGGTGATGGCATTTTCAAAAACCACTGTTGCACTGTTTTGTGCTCTGATGGGGTTGGATTTCTTTTTCCTGGGATCAGGTTGGATTGATCTCTGAAAGAGAACTATCCTGAGGACGTACTGGTGCCGAAGAAAGCAATGATTAAGTGGGTAGTTGCTTTTTCTGCCATCTTGTTAATGCCCCTGACCCTGGGGCTTTATGTCCAGTAGGGTCATCTGTGGGATGAGATTTCAGAATGAGCACCTTGAACTCTTGGTGGTCATTAGACGGTCCTTTGATAACGATGGGTGACAGGAATCAAAGACCTTGATAGTTCTAGTATACTTGGGGTAGGTGCTGATTGTTGTTCTGCAAAAGTTCTTGTATAACATGTTTTGGGACTGGTAGAGGGAGAGCCCAAATTAGAAAATGAACATACTCCTGACAGTGGTCAAACTGTAGCCTGTCAGCTCTGTAATGAAAGCTGCTAATAATCAGTGTTTGAACCGATGACCAGCCAGCCCAAATGGCAGTCAAAGTTAAAATAGGTTTTAATCTTCTTAATCTCAAAAGACGGGGATTGGGGAGGGGGTGGGAAGTTTTGGGATTCTGTATGGATGAGGATAATAAGAAAAGCCTGCACTAATTGAAATGTTGATGGACTTTAGGGTTTCTCTGGGAGGTCGTGGTTGTGACTAGAATCCTAGGTTTGGTGAAGGGGTTTGGGACATTCTAGGTGGGGCGGGGGTGTAGCTGTTGACATTTCTTCCTTTTCCATCTTGCCGGCCCCAGTGGACTACAGACCAGCAGCTGATCCAGGTTATTCGCTCTATAGGAGTCTATGATGTGGTGGAGTTGAAATTTGCAGAGAATCGAGCAAATGGCCAGTCCAAAGGGTGAGGTCTGGATTTGAGAAGCCCCTTTTAGCTTGTCACCGTTAGGATAACAGATCTACACTGTATTTTGACCCTGGATTTTAATCCCTCCTACCCCTGGCCAGGATTATTTCCTTGGTTTTGGCACACTGCTGTAGAATGGGGACCTAGCTGCAGTGTAACAATGTCCATCCATTGAGAGGCGAAGAAAGCTGATTTCTAATTCCAAATAAATAGGAAGATTAAAGGGTGACACCTTTTTATCAAGGGTGGTTTTGTATATGTTATATTAGCAAGAAATCTTTCTTTTGCTTTACCAATTTTCACTAAAAGCGGAAGAGTGTTTCTTTGTCCCTCTCTTGTTCGGCTAGTAGATCTCACTCGTTTTCAATTTTTCTTCCCCAAGGTATGCTGAGGTGGTGGTAGCCTCTGAAAACTCTGTCCACAAATTGTTGGAACTCCTGCCAGGAAAAGTTCTTAATGGAGAAAAAGTGGACGTGAGGCCGGCCACCCGGCAGAACCTGTCACAGTTTGAGGCACAGGCTCGGAAACGTGAGTGCGTCCGAGTCCCAAGAGGGGGTACGTGGAGACCATCTGTCTGAAGGGGGGCAAGTTTGTGGGGTTGTTTGCTGTGTTGTGGGCTCTGCCTACAGTGTGGGGCGCGGGGGTGGGTGGTGGGGGTTATGGGTGGTGGCGTGGTCAGTTAGTAGACCCAAACTTGAGGCTGTGTACAAGAAAGAACACTGTGCTGAGAGGTAGGTTCAAGTTATAGTTTGGTTCTGCCACTAACTCATTGTGTGACCTTGGGCAAGTCACTTTACTGCTTAGGACCTCTTCCCTTCTCTGAAGTAGATACGTGATGTTTAAAGTTCCTGTCAACTCTAAATTACGTGTTTCTGTCTAAAAAATCAGTGTATGCGCTTAATTGTAACCTGTGCCCTCTATTAATTAACAAGCAGCAGCCACCCTAATGTGTTGGTAATAGGTATAAAAGATGGCTATAATCTTGTCATAAACCTATATTGGAAGGGTGCTCTGTAAGGAATCAACCAAAAGGAGGGCTGGAAGATAAGAATTTCACAGTGTTTTTCTAGCATTGTCTGGGGGAGAGGGTGCCCTTTCGGTGACCAGGTATTTTAGTCTGCTTGGCAGATCCTTCCCACTAATAAAGCTGCATCATATTTACTACCTTAGCTTGATGATGGTATCACTTAAGTTCACCTTGCTCCCTTTGTTCTGATTCTGTACTCACCAAGCCACCTTCTGATACTAATTTGGTTTCCCAACTAGGCTCTCCTACTGGGAAGAGAATGCGCTGACCAGCCGACACAAGTATTCCGGTCTGCTTGGCAGTTATATTTCTCATTGTAAATTAATAAATTGGCATTCTGGTTTATGAATCAGTCTCTTGTGAGTTTGGTTAGCGTGAATCAGTTTCCTAGGGTACAATCACCCCTGGATGTACTGTTAAAATCGAGTTTCTGAACCTGCGAAACCTGAGGACCAGACCTTGGATTGTCCTGACCTCACCAGGTGCAGCCACCCTGCAAGGCCCTGCCTGAAGCCGCCAACTGGCTTTACTTTTCTTTTCTGACAGCGGGGGTGGCGGGGGAGGGGGACAGACTCACCGCCTACGTTCTGTCATTTCTTAGGTCCTGCTCTCAAGATAGCGCCTTGTATTGATTGATTGAAGGTGAAAATCTGGCCACTTGTCTCTTGCACAGGAAAAACTGTTCTTTTAACTAGTTTGAGAGCCTAGATGGGTGTAGTGTGAGCTCCCATTGCTCTGGGTTAAAAGGCACACACTTTTCTTCCTTGACAACTTGAATTTTCAAGTTTCTGTTTCAGAGCCTTTATGTAATTCAACCCTCTTCTGACTTTCCTAAGATGCATAAATTGACAGTCGCATTAGGGATAACATTCCTACCTCCACCTGGCTGCTTACTCAGTGTTCCTGTTCTTTACTGAAATAATGGTAGTGACTGAGTGGTGGTGGTCTGCTCTGTCATGTTGACAGACTTGGGCTCTGTTAAGTCACTGAGTACAGCTGGTGGACTTCCTCCGCATAAAAATGGTTGCTGCTCTTGGGATTGTAGCCATAGATACAAAACAGAACCCGTGCAGAAGTGGGAACAGTAACCGAGAAGATGGCGAACTTTCAGAGGATCACACGTGCTAATACCTTTTTCTTCGATTTGAGAGAACTCAGGGAAGAGACAAGTTGCCATGTGTTTGAGGCACGAAAAGCACAAGTGTGCCGTGACAGGCACTGGTGATACACTACGGTGAAGAAAGCTCGGTGGTTGCTGGGTGATGGACCCCCTCCCCCTGTGTTTGAACCTGGAGTTGTGTCTACCAGCAAGTGTTAGTTTACGGAGCGCTCTCCTTTCTGTCCACATTTGACTGCTAATGGCATCTCTGCCTCCCAGCAAGACCTTTAAGGCCGTGTGATCGTGTTCTTCTGTTCAATTCCACACTAACCAGGCTTGGAGTCAACTGTTAAATTGGGAGAGTGAACAAGTTTAACTGGGTGACTTGACAGTTTACAACCCCATTCCCAGCTGCATACAAGCATGTTTGAGTCCCTGTTGTGCACAACACCGTACCAAGGTGCTATGGTGATGTTCCCTGGTAGGCTGCCCTGTGGGGTACAGTGTTTGGGCCACTGAAATATAGTGGGAGTTCCCCAGGTGTGAGGCTTGTTTTTCACTAAGCTTTTACTAGGAGTCCCTGCTCTCGGCTGTGTGCCTTCTGCTCGTTCTGTGGGCACATCTTATCTTGGCTTACCTCCCATTTTCTCCCTACCTCTCAACTTGACCTCCAAGGCTTCTGTGGTATATGTCTGTTCCCCGTCCCAGTGACTAGTTTTAGTATATGGTTGGAAGAAATATGTCCCCTGCCCTCCCTTCTCTTTTCCCAAATTCCCTGGCCATAGTGCCACGGCAAAGAGAATTTCGAGTGTATGTTAGCACGTTAGTCTAAGAGCAACTAGTACTGGTCGAAGGAGAAGGGCCCTGGGATTTCACGTCTGCTTGAATCCAGCTGAACAGTAATGAACATACTTGAACAGGTCATTTTCTTGGGGGTTAATTAGGATCCTGCATTTAGAAATTGAAAGCAAATCTGAGGATAAATTAAGTGTAAAGCACTGAGAGTTCTGGATAAAGAGCATTCTCTGACAAACAGAATTAGAGTGATAGTGCTGTCTGGGTTTATGACTTAACTCGCTTGCCTTTTTTTCTGAGGCCAAAGAAAAGGGAGCCGATGATTTCATCTTCTTTCTCAGCTACCTGTCGCCTTCCTCAGTGTGGTGTCAGAGGACTCTTGCTGAAGGATAAGCTGGTCCCGTGGGTACGTGTAAAGCCTGGGCAGTAATGTTAGTTCTGTTTTGCTTCATAGGAATACCTCCACGGGCCCATTCCCGGGATTCTAGTGATTCTGCTGATGGACGGGCCACACCCTCTGAGAACCTTGTACCCTCATCTGCCCGTGTGGATAAGCCCCCCAGTGTGCTGCCCTACTTCAATCGCCCTCCTTCAGCCCTCCCCCTGATGGGTCTGCCCCCACCCCCAATTCCACCCCCACCCCCTCTCTCCTCAAGCTTTGGGGTCCCTCCTCCTCCTCCTGGCATCCACTACCAGCATCTCATGCCCCCTCCTCCTCGATTACCTCCTCATCTGGCTGTACCTCCCCCTGGGGCCATCCCACCTGCCCTTCACCTCAATCCAGCCTTCTTCCCCCCACCAAATGCTACAGTGGGGCCTCCACCAGATACTTACATGAAGGCCTCAGCACCCTATAACCACCATGGCAGGTAAGGACTATCTTGTTCCTTTCTGATCTGAGCCAGGTATAGTAGGGTAGACCATGTGTTAAGCATTTTGTTCTCCCCTGAGGAAGTAAGTGAGCGTGAATTCTTGTGTTTTCCCTTGTGGAAACTCTGTTGCCACAGTGTTGAGTCCTGGGAAGTAGTTAACTGTCTGTTAGGTAACCTTTTTTATTTGGTGTTTTGGTTGCATCTTAGTCTCTTGACCCAAACCATGCCTTTCACATCCCTTTTTAAGGAGCTTGATTAAATTGAGCGCCATAAGTGGCTATTAGGGATGCTGGGAATGCCTAGTGCTATTGGGTCATGCCAAAATTACAAAAGAACACGATGTCAGTCCTGTCCTTGAAGAGAATGTGAACACATAAAATATGAACAGGGTGAGAACCACTTAAGACGTTATATAGGAGAGCATGATTAAGTGACATCGTACTGTAGGGTATGGTAAAGATAATAAGGGGTGTGGGCAATCAGAAGTGTTGTTTCTGTGCAGCCGAGACTCGGGCCCTCCGCCCTCCACAGTGAGCGAAGCAGAATTTGAAGAGATCATGAAGCGAAATAGAGCGATTTCCAGCAGTGCCATTTCCAAAGCGGTATCTGGAGCCAGTGCAGGTAACTCACCCTTACCTTTGCTGTCTTCTCCTTACCTTTGGTTTTCCTAGGTTTTGTCATTCCCATTGGCAGGAAGTTCAGTAAGATAAAGTTGGAGCACTGTTAGAGTCTCAAGAGTGGCACATTTTGAGAAGCAGTATATATAACCTGATTTTGTGGCTTTGCAGAAGCTCCACTGGTGTTATTTATTGAACCTGTACCTAAACCTGCCCCATGAAAACAAACTTCGTGCCTAGGTCATAAATGACTAATAATACCTCATAGTATTTGTTGTAGAATGAAATTCCTGGCCTCGTGGAGATCTCAGCGGTTGATCAGGGGATCTAGTGTCTGTAGTGCCAAGTGTAGACCCTGGGTTTTTAGGACTGATGCCCCAACTAGATGTGGTTTGTTATGGAATGTCATTATATCCAGGGGTCTTGGCAGAACTGGTGGCCTCCACGTAGCCTATCCTAGAAATAAGGAGGTCTGTTGGGTGTCATCATAAGACATGATATGCCCTAATGGCTGACTTTGGCCCTGCTGTCAGCAATCAGTGGGCAGAACCAGAAGCTGTGACTCTGAGAGCCCCGGGCATGGAATCTTTGGTTCTTTATAGAGTTCTGGTCTGAGTTTCACATTATGATATTAGTCATATTCACTTCCTTCTTGTGAGTTTCCCATGTTGACGTAAATGTAGACCGTCAGGTCTCCTAAGAAATAGGTTAACAGTAAATATTGTCTGTTTTCCGTAATTTCTCATCTCTGGCTGCCAAATTTGAATCCACAGAGTAGGTTAAAGACAGGAAATATAGTATATATATATATATATTTTTTTTCTTATTTCCTTTTTTTTTCCTCCCCAAAACATTCATTGACATCTGAATGATTTTTAAATTAGAAAGTAATCAGTGCTCATTGTAACTAAAGTCAGATATATACAGAGGAGTATAAGGGAAATAATCATTGTTCTTCCTTACCAACTCCTTCACTTTGAGATGATCAATAACTGAATCTCTATCTCCCTCCCTTTTTGTTGTTCTCATTCCAGTCATTCAAACCACAAATACTTATTGAATGCCTACAAAATAAGCAAAAATTCCCCACCCCGGTAGAGCTGACAGCCTGGTGTGCCTGGACCTCTACAGAATCACAGTTCCTCCTCAGCTTCCGTTCTGTTCTTACTGCCTTGCACAGAGGAAGCTACCAGTCCTCCTCATTGGACCCCTGTCTGGTTTCATGCTTCCCTTGCATTGTCTTCAGTCTGTAATGCACTTGACTTAGCTTGGGAAAGCATCGTGCAAGTACCCAGCCCGTGACCACTATCCCTGAGCCAGGCATTGCTCATATTTGGGGAATGAAGGGGCTGGTTCTTGACGGCAGCGTAACTTAAAAATGTATACGCACACACACTACGTGTAGAAGCGTTAGGTACACGTTACGCGCTTGTGTACACACATCTGATTATAGATTTAAAATAATTCAGACTTAGAAATGTGTATTGTTAATAAATGAAAGTCCTCTATACAAGGACTACCACCAAGACCATCTACAATTTAGTGTCAGATTTTTTTTCTGTGCGTATAGGAGAGCATACGTGTAATTTTTATTTTTACAAAAATGGAATACTGTTTTGCAACTTTTTAAAAATTAATACATCCTGGACATCTATCAATATGTACTAATACCTAACATTTATTGAGCCCTTACTGTGTGCCTGGCACTGTGCTAAGCGCTTTATGTGGATTACTCTGTTTACCTACAGATTTATCTTATGCTTTTTAACGGTTATGTAGTGTTCTATAAAACCAATGTCCCATAATTCATATAGCCAGACCCTACTGACGTCGTGTCTAGTTCTTTGACAAAATAATGCCGAAACGTGTTGTTAAGCATACATACTTGTGAAGAGAAGTAGAATATTTTTAGAATTGCTGGGTCGAAAAGTACGCACGTCGTTTATTTTAACGGATGTCGTCCAGTCGCCCTCAGACAACCACGCACCAGTTTGTACATCCACTAGCAACATCTGAGAACGTCAGTCTGATTCCAGACCATTGGAATATAGGTGCCATCCAGCTTTATACCTGCCACTTCTGCCTCGTCCATTTTACCATGGTTCTGTGGGACAGCTAGTTACTCTTGATTTGTGTCCTCCTGAGTTCTCCTTTTGGTCCCGATAGTCTACTGCCTCTGCTCATCGTTGGCCTTTCCCATCCGTCCCCTGTCAGGGGATTACAGTGACGCGATTGAGACGCTGCTCACAGCCATTGCTGTTATCAAACAGTCCCGGGTCGCCAATGATGAGCGTTGCCGTGTCCTCATCTCCTCTCTTAAGGACTGTCTTCATGGCATTGAAGCCAAGTCCTACAGTGTGGGTGCCAGCGGGAGCTCGTCCAGGTGAGTTGTTGGTTGCTTCCGCGGCCTCCCAGCCCTGAGTAGCACTCTTCCAGGGATTGGCAGGGGGAGGAAAAGAGCCCAGGGGGTCTGGCAAGGCCCTGGCTGAAAGAGCAGATCTAGCCCTGTAACATCTTTAAGGGGAAGGAGTTAGTCAAACACCTGTGTTGACAAATGACGTGATGTCTGGAACCTGTGTTGGGTGAGGCAGTGGGCTATTTAGGAATAAAGATAGACTGGCATAGTTAAGAACGTGGGCTTTGGAGCCATACGTGCTTGGATTTGAATCTCCGTTCTGCTTCTAAGTACCTGTGTGACTTTGAGTATGGAAGTCACTCGGCTTTCCAAACCTCATTTTTCTCATTTTTAAAAAGGGGACAACAGTAGTACTTCTCGTACCAACCTGTCATAAAGATGAGGTGAGAGAAGCATGTAAAGCTCTTAGCACTGTGCCTGATACATTAGTAAGATCTCAACAAACTTGACTGTTACTGTTTCCCCAAAAAAAGACGAGTCCTCAAAGAGCTAAATCCTCAGACATTGGGCCCAAGCTAGAAAAGTGGTTCAGACAAATACCAGAAGACACCGAAACACAACACTCTTGGAAGGCGTGTGGTAGGTCCTCTGAGTGAGGCTGAAGGATCTTTCTAATAGGAAAAGACATCGATCCCGAGAGAGGTCACCTAGCCGGTCCCGGGAGAGCAGCAGGAGGCATCGGGACCTGCTTCATAACGAAGATCGACATGATGATTATTTCCAAGAAAGGAACCGGGAGCATGAGCGGCACCGGGATAGAGAGCGGGACCGGCACCACTGAGAAAGGTGGGACGAGGCCCTGTTCCTGGCTGCGGGACACCTTGTATGAAAGGAAAAATACTTACGGCAAAGATTTTGCTCTCTCTCTTTAAAGCAAATAAAGGGGAAGGGAGGACTTTTGACTTAGGTAACCGGAAGTTGAGGAGGGCAGATTTGGGGCTCGTTTGGAGAAGACTCGCCCTGAAATGGACCTGAGATTGTGCTGGTTTTGTCTGTGTCTTGTCTGTCTTAGCTAAGCTCGTACCTGGGAGACAGCATGGCGTCTGGGCTGAGAGCACAGTGTCTGCAGGCCGTATTATTTTGTTGTTGTTGTTTTTAAGTTTATTTATTTATTTTGAGAGAGAGAGGGAGAGAGAGAATCCCAAACAGGCTACACACTTGGTGGAGAGCCACGCATGGGGCTTGAGATCTCCCGAACCGTGAGATCATGACCCGAGCCGAAACCAAGAGTCGGACGTTTTACAGGACGCTTAACCAATTGAGCCACCTAGGCACCCCTGTGGGCCTTATTACTTTGTTCTTCAGTTTCCTCATTTGGGAATGAAGATAATAAAAACAGCTGTCTCCCCGAATTGTTGAATTCAGTGAGACAGTCCATGTAGAGCATTTAGCGCTCGTAGGACTTGTCACATACCAAGTTCTCAATAGACGATAGCCACTTCTGTTTTCACCCCACCAAACTTGCAAGTAAGAGATCAGGAGAACTGACCAAGACAAAAAGTAAGACCATTGCCTTCTTGTTAGTTTTCAAAAGGCACAGCATTAATGATTTTAAGAATTAATATCTATTAAAAAGATTTTGAAACTCCAGATACTTTAGTCAGAGGAGAAGGCTGATCTAAAAAAAATCATATTTAATGTAATAGTGTGGAGGATACTTCAATGGAAGGATACATTTGTTTTGGGGGAAAAAATCTCATTGACAGTCCTGTGGTTTTTTTTTGTTTTTTTTGGTTGTTTT